TAAATGTTATTAATTAAGGAATATGAAAAGTTATGTAGGTTTCAAATCAATATGGTTTGAGAAAACAAAATATCTCTAAACATATTATTTTGAATGGTCTCATTTATACTACCGGAAAAAATATAACACGATCAAACTATGAGTAAAAAATGATACATTCATCCACAACCTTGACTTGTGAAGCTCTTTTAGGCACTCCATCGCTGCTAATACGTTCTAAAAGAATTGTGCCTATTGAAATTTTTTCTTTTCAGTTTCTTATGACATTCTTCTTACATGTAAGAGTTTATATAGCATATTTGGTGTTTAATGCTAAATCAATTACTTAGAAGACATTTGAAAAATCATTTAAAATATGAAAAGACAAAGGAGTTTCAAATCAATGTGGTGCTTAGAAATATAGTCATTTGAGAATATGAAAAGACAAAGGAGTTTCAAATCAATACTGTGCTTAGAAAAATGCTTCTATTATAAGATATATAGATATAGATAGATAGATATAGATATAGAAGATAGATAGATATAGATATATTTGTTCTTAGCAAATTAAAGAACATATAAATTTGATATCATACGGTGACAATCACGTAAACAATATTATAGTGATGGCCCGATGTGTTTGACAATTGATGCGTCTCTTAATTTTTCCTAATTTTCTTCAATGTTCCTAAATTTTCCAAAATTTCCTTATCTGTCTAATGGATAATTACTAGTTTACCCTCAGTTATTTAATGAGTTATCGTTTACCCCTTGTTATTTTATCCGATGATATGAATCTATTATGTTTAGTGATTCTATCACATTAAATTGATATTTTAGATACTACGAATATATATATATATATATATATATATATATATATATATATATATATATATATATATATATATATTACAAAACACTTTTCTTAAATAAAACAAAAACTTGTATATCTATTCTTAATAAAAGACTCCCTTAAACTACACGTGTCATCCTTTTGCTCCTCCTACTTGCCACGTGTCACTACCGCAACTTTCCTTTCCCTGTTTTTCCCGCCCATTCCTTCTGATGTAAATTCTACATCATCACCTCCCACTAATCAGGAATTCCGTTTAAATTACAATTCACCAATTTAATCTGCAAGAAATCAACAATCAATTTTCCTTCCGCCTATCTCTCCTAATATACGACTTTTATTTTTTTTGTTTGAATGTGTGCCGCCTGCAATTCTAATTTATTTGTTTTTCATCTCCATTCCATCATCGACGATGTGTTAAGAGGTAGAAAAGACCAATTAACCTGGTGTAATGATCCTCCGTCCTCAAAGAAGTTCAGATTTGCATTATGTTCTACCTTTTTGTTTGTTCTAATCGGGGACAATCCAAATTCTTTTCCTCTCCATCTGTCTGCCTCTCGAACCCTAATTCTCATAGAAAATAAACATGTTTTCTTGAAGATTTGCTTACATGCTGCATGCATAAATCAAGAATCTTGGCCAATTATGCCACATCAATCTCCTAGCTGAAGCAGGTTTGTAAAAAATCTAATTGATTTAAATTTTGTTGCTTCTTATTATTGTTGTTCAGTTTTTTGTTACTGGTATGTGCTCATCAAAAAAGATTTTTTTTATGATAAATCATATAAATTTTGGTCAAATGTTGTGTTCAAGTTTATTGTTTTATGCTTGTAGCAGGTAAATGATAAAAGCGGTTAAGAAATTGATGTTTTATGATGATGCCTAATAGGTGTTTGATGAAATGCCTAAGACAAACAATAATATTATATCATTTGGTTAATCATGAATCTCAAACAACTTTTCTTATTGGCATTTGGTGATGAAGATTGTACCTATGTAGCTTCATTATCTCCCCCTTTTTTCCTATATGATTATCTGTTTTCTAGACCCCCCCCCCCCCCTCTTCCACACACACCCACATAAGTTATAACACATACCATTATTACTTACTTTTTGCTTGGTTATCTGTTTTCTTTTGGATGATAGCAGGTTATCGGGACTTTATCAGATGAAAATGGATTTTGTAGTGATCTTTACATGATAGATATCGGGTACTTTCTCTAATCTCTTGGGGTAAAATTTGATTTTATGCATTAATTATGATATAAATCAAATTGGAGTTTTTGGACCTAAAGATACACGAAAGTGGATACCTTATTTTCCTAAATCTCGAGTTAAATAAAGACCTGAATGTGATTGGTTGCTCCATCTAGTAGAAAATTTCCTAAAATTGAACTTTTGTATTGCTTAGGTTAAGAGAGTGGTAGAGGTTCTTTGTATTCTCATCATGAACCTTTTTTTTAATATTCTCTTCTATTTTGGGAAGTAGGTGATGTGTTATATTAAACACAATAAGGTATTTGAACGCCTTAAGTTAAAGATTAAAAAGTAGATAATAAAATTTCATGATATTTGTTAATGTTAGTGTTTGCTTTTTTTGTCCTTTTTTTTAGAAATTACAAATTCCAATTCCTATTTGATTCGGTCAGAATCCTCTGACCGCTGATGAAGCACATGCGTTTTTTTGGTTCGCAAAGGAATGTAATCAGTCAAAGTAATTGGAAATAGAAGTGCAATCTGCCACGTGGTTGGTGCCGTTTTAGAGTTAGCTGGTGTTAATGGTCAGGTTATAAAAGTACAATGGCATTTCTAGATTTCATACAAAACAATTGTCTTACATGTAAGTTGTAACATGTGCAAGAAATAGAAATCAAATTTATAAAACAATGTGGATGTACTTGATGAATGGGATTGAAATAAATGTGTATAAAACAAGATATAAAGCTTCAATGATCGTGTGTAAATTACAAAAAATGGTAATTGTGTAAATTACATAAATGGTCCCTATGTAAATTACAGTTATGATCCCTCTATAAATTATACTTATGGTTCATGTGTCAATGTAGAAATTGTCAAGTTATGGTCCCTATATAAATTACAGTTATAGTCCATGTGTCAATGTGGAAATTGTCTAAGTTCTTGCAATTTTATTCAACATCAAGTTTCTTTGCTCTTTTTAATGTTGTATATTATCTAAAAGCTTACTATTACATGGAATAAAAGTTGACCCCTTTAGAAATAAAAAAGCTGGAATTACATGCTATGAAACTAAAAAAAAAACTTAAAAAATATGCTTTATAATAAACAAAATCATATTTATGTATATATGATCTTCTAATATAAAAACATGCTCATAATTTTCAATAAATAATAAACATTCATTATTTAAATACATATTTTACAATAAACAAACCAAGCAAAGTACATTGTTTTAATTTGTTCTAACATATTAAGAGTACATTCCCTCTTTGACTTCCTTTCCTTACATCATACAAACTCATGATTTTATCATTGCTCAATAATTAAGTTATAATTTGATTAATTTTTTTAAAAATAAAATTCCATCTGTGGTGTCTACGGGTTATAACATAGTACACAATATATGTATCTTCTTATACTAATAAAAGAATAGTTTATTTTGTCATGTATCACTCTAATACACCTCCTAATTAATATTATATCATATATGAGGTCAAACAGTTTCAATTTTAAATTTGGTTGACCTACTTATACTCTCCACCGATCATTTAATTCTTATCTTAAATAACGTGACTTTTTGAAATTTAAATTTCTAATCCGTTATAATAAGGAAACACATATTTAAATATTTACTAACTTCATCCCTTAAAGTCAGTAAAGTAAATCGATTTTGTTTGGCAAGTTAATTTACATTATTTTAGAATATAGTAGCTATATATTTAAAGCATTTGTAAGAACTTTATCGTAACAATTGAAGTTATTATTAAATATTTTAAGACATATGATATGACTTACCAATAATATTTTTTACTCTTCTATTTTTTTTCGGTTTCATTTACATAAGGAATCACATGGTTTTCGGTTCTAGATTCACCACTGGATGCAAATACATTATTTAGTTGTCAACTCAATATTCGGGATGTGTATACTAAAAACAATAATGGATGCGGGTAAGTAAGTCACTTGGGGTGATAGGTGTTGATTTCTTGTTACTATCGCTTTATTTGTTTGGTTTTTGCTTTTGTCTTAAAGAATTGAATTCTGATTTTAGAGGCTCATTATGCTTAAAAGGTATTGTCGGGGACAATTTCAAATATTTGGGACAATTTTAAATGAATTTATTTCTTTCATTAGCAACTTACAATATTTAAGTTTTGCTCTGGATTTTATATTTTCTTTCATAAGGAAATTTGGTTCATCATGTTTGTTGCAAAAATAGATTAATGATAGAATTATAAAGTTGTTAGTTTCATTGATAATGATCCGAATTCAAAAGATTATCATGTTTGGTGTGAATATAGATTATAGGTAAAATTGTAAAGTTATTTTTTTCCCTTTATCTTTCTTTAATCTCGGAAACACAATTTTTATTCCTTCTATTTCCTTCAAACATGGAAATGCGAAAGGTAGTTACTCTTTTCTTTTTTCTCCATATTTTTCTTTCTTTTATTAAAACTGGGAAACAAACAAAGTGTAAGGTCAACATTGAAGTGGTTTAAGGTATAATTTTAGATTTTAGATGATTAATTTTTCCCCACACCACACTTCTATTAGCCATGGACCTAATAAGTGGATTTGTTTAATGGTTTGTTTGTGGTTTTTAGTTTTGTTCCACTCAATTCCACTTTGTTTTTATGGAACTAAAAATTGTAAAATCAAACGGACTTGGTCTTTGTTCCACTCATAGATTTTTCATCCATCCATAACATACAGATTAAAAATGTTTGTTATATTCAGTCAAGTTCTATTCCCCGTACCAAATCGATACCTAAGATAAAATTGATATTGGAATAAAGTTAGTTGGCTTTAGCATTTTCGGGTTGTACATAGAGTTTGACATGGTGTAAGTAGCTCTTAAACACAATATACTACAGATTTATAAAATATCAATTTCCTGTAAAATAGATAAGTTAGTTAGATTGACCAATGTTATTATCTAATATAAGTTAGGGTGAAAAGTGAAAGCATACAATTACTTTATTTTGAATTTTGACTGTAATGGACGACAGAGGAAACAACACACCGGCAATCGGCATCGACCTCGGAACAACCTACTCATGTGTCGCTGTTTGGAAGCATGATCGCATCCAAATCATTCCCAATGATCAAGGCAACAGAACCACACCTTCTTGTGTTGCTTTCGTTGATGCCGAACGCCTCATCGGCGATGGCGCCATAAACAAAGCCGCCATGAACCCTGCTAACACTATATTTGGTAAACTTTTTTTTTTCTAGTTTTTATTGAATAATGTTATTCTTATTAAGGAATAGTGAGAAACCGGTCAATATTTCATGAACAAGGTTTTGCTTTCATTCCGTTCGGATCTACTTAAATTAATGTTTGTTTGCGTATTCTACTGCATATTACTTTGTTCCTTTAAATATCACCAAGAAACATAGCTTTAGGGTATCAAAATCTTTACGGGTATATCTTAATTATAGTTGGTTTTCAAAATTTTCACTTGGCTATAAGGACCTAATTAACTGTGGATCGATGTACAGATGCTAAGAGGCTGATTGGAAGGAGATTCGGTGATTCCAAAGTGCAGGATGACATCAAGTTGTGGCCTTTTAGGGTCATAGAAGGGCCTGTCGACACACCAAAGATTGTTGTCTCCTTCAAAGGTGAAGAGAAGGAATTTTTGGCTGAAGAAATTTCATCGATGATTCTTGGGAAGATGAAAGAAACTGCTGAGACATACCTTGGAAAACCTGTGAAAGATGCTGTGATAACAGTTCCAGCTTACTTCAACGATTCACAACGTCAAGCAACAAAGGATGCTGGAGCTATTGCTGGACTTAATGTCATCCGCATCATCAATGAACCTACAGCAGCTGCAATTGCTTATGGTTTGGACAATAAGACTGACATTAATGGCAAGATCAACGTGCTCATCTTTGATCTGGGTGGTGGCACTTTTGATGGATCTCTATTGACCATTGCTGAAGGGGGTACCATTGAGGTGAAAGCTGTTGCAGGTGACACTCATTTGGGAGGTGAGGATTTTGATAACCGCATGGTGGATCATTGTGGTCGGGAATTCAAGAGGAGATGGAATAAAGACTTGAGTGAGAACAAAAGAGCATTGGGGAGGTTGAGATTTGCTTGTGAGAAAGCAAAAAGGATTCTCTCATGTAGTACTCAGACTTCAATTGAACTAGATGGCTTGCATGAGGCCATTGATTTCTCCATGAAATTCAGTCGAGCTAAATTTGAAGAGCTCAACATGAGTTTCTTTAGTAAATGTATTGAGATTGTGGAGGAATGTTTAAGGGATGCAAAGATGGAGAAATCGTGTGTAAATGAGGTGATTCTTGTTGGTGGCTCAACTAGAATACCAAAGGTCCAGTGTATGTTGCAGGAGTTTTTTGAAAGGAAGGAGTTGTGCAAGAGTGTGAACCCTGATGAGGCTGTTGCGTATGGTGCAGCTGTTATGGCTGCAAAGTTAAGTGGTAACAATCATAAGAGTTGTCAAGATTTGTTGTTATTGGATGTCACTCCTTTATCTCTTGGTGTGGAAGTAAAAGGAGATATATTGAGTGTTGTGATCCCTCGGAACACTCCAATACCTACCAAGAAATCTAAAAAATTTTGTACAAGTGAGGACAATCAATTTTTGACAACTATCATGGTGTATCAAGGTGAACGAGCCAGATCTAAAGATAACCATTTGTTGGGAGAGTTCACAATTTCTGGAATACCACTGGCTCCAAAAGGAGTTATAAAATTTATGGAAACCTTTGAAATAGATGCCAATGGTATCCTCACAGTCACATCGGAGATAATATCAACTGGTAAGACTGAGAAACTCACGATTACTAACGAAAATGGAAGACTCTCAAAGGAACAAATGGAGAAGATGGTTAAAGATGCTGAGAATTACAAACAGGAGGACAGAGAATACAAGAAGAAAGCAGATGCATTGAATGCATTGGAGGATTGCATATACAACATGAAGTATAAGATAAAAAATATGACGAGAGGTAAGAGGTCGAGGAAAATGGAGGTTGCTATTGCTGACACAACCAAGTGGATCGAGCACAATGAAGCTGCATCTGTTGATGAGGTTCAACGCATGAAGGAACATCTGGAGTCTCTATGCATGGACGAGTTTTAGTCAAGAAATCATGGTAATGAAACTCGTGTATCTTCTAAAGTCGTGTTTTGTTTTCATTAGATGATGTTTACTAGCAATTATGGGGAAATTTCTTAAACCAATAAAAAATGTTAAACCAAGAACCTTTTTGTATTTATCTGATCAGTTGTGAACCAAAACATGAATCTTGGAATGCTATTTCGACTGCTCAAGCAAGGTACTTGATTTTGTTATATTTTGTTTTTGGAAAATTTTGAGTACCATCTACATGTGTTGATTGTATAACTTATAGTAATATTTTTCACAACACACTTGTTTCTAGACTTTCAAGATTTATGTTTACCATCGGAGTGCTTAAATGTTCCAACTGAGTTCATGGCCTAACAAGTTGAGATGACCACTTTTAAGATTGAGGAAGACTACATTTTTTCCTTGTGCATATCCACAATGGAATTGAAAGAAAGTTGAATGTGTATTGTGAGATGTTGATTTGGCAATTTGTTGAATTGAGGATGTAAGGTAGCTTTTGGTATGTAGGAATGGAGTGGACAAAACATCCATTTTCGAGTGCCGTTTGACATAGATTCGATTAGGTCAAAAATGAGATTTGACTATAATTCAAATGGGACTAATTCTTTTCCCACCCAAAAGGGTGGATCACACTCCGCCTGGAAATCAGTTACCCACACCCATTCGCCGGATATTAGAGACTGAGATTGCCCCAGGTTACACAATTGTTTTTTTGTTATATTACATTTTTGGTTTATGGGAAGGTAAGATTTTATGCTGACTTTTTTAGCATGTTAAAAACGAACAAGATATATGACCATTGACAATTTTCTAACTTAAATTTGGACTTGGTTGAAGAAAGAACCCTTGTCTTTGTACCAATTCATGATCAGAGAATCATGGAACTTTCTGACTACAACCCGTTTGGTGATAATTCAGAAGCAATGAGAGACGTTGGTCAAACATATACAAGTTATTGGAGTGAAATTTAGGGGTGTTGATTGGGTATAACTTTCGGGTTTCGGATAGTTCGGGTTTTTTTTGTAAAAATAATAATAACCGATACCCGACCTACATTGCACTTCGGGTATTCGGATTCGGGTAGATTGAGTTTTAATTCGGGTCGGGTATATTCGAGTATAACTGAAAATTACCCACAATTTTTTTGATACTTTTGGGGTCTTATAAATTGAATGCAATTTTTTTTTATAGAACAACCTGTTTTTATATTATACCACCTTGTTGTTGGGGTTTGAAAACTCTTCTATTAAACACGAAAATAGAATTACAATAGGAGGAGCAACTCTCACACTCAACTATTACAAAAAACCAACCCTCTCACTAACACTCTCACTCTAAGTGTTATACTATCTGTTTCTCTGTGTTTTTGGGATGCATACAACTGAAGAATGAAGTCTCTATTTATAGTCTTGGCAGCCACCATTGTAGTTGCGTCTATTAATTGTGTTCATCATAGGGTGGGAAGAAAAACTTGTCCCGTAGGTTTCATTTTGTCAACAATGATGGCTACTGTAGCTTTGGAGGCTTTGGAGGCTGGAACACAACAAATCTCCCCCTCCAGTCTCCGTCCAACAATCCTCATCCCAACTATGTCAGCACATAGTCTGTGTTTCTCTTGTGTCACCACCTTTGTCAACATGTCTGCCTTATACTTCATAGTATTTCCCTTTCCGTCTTTCTTCAGTTTGAAAACCCACTTGTTTTTCAAGGCTTTCTTTCCTTTGGGGAGTTTCACCAACTCATATGTATGATTCTTCTGCAAAGAGTTCATTTCTTCTTCCATGGCCTTCTGCCAATTTGCTTTGTCAATATGAGATTGAGCTTCTTGAAAGCTCTCTGGCTCCCCCTCACTAGTAAGAAGGATGTAGTTTGAAGTCGGATATCTTCTTGATGGAGCACGGACTCGTTCGGATCGTCGAAATTGAGTTCCTTCATTTGCAACTTCTGGCAGTGGATCTGAATTATCCAGGGGTGGAAGCTCCCCCTCATCAACACCTTCTTGATATGCATCATCGACTTCTTCATCCACTTCTTCAGCGGAAACATCTTCTTTATTTTCAGATATTATATCTAAAACTTTGGAGCTTTGTTGCTTGTTAACCGGTGCCTTGAAATCATAATACTGGTTTTCATAGAAAACCACATCTCTACTTCGAATAACCTTCTTTAGTTCTGGGTCCCATAGCCTGTACCCGAACTCTTCATCTCCATATCCAATAAAGATGCATGGAGTGGATTTGAGGTCCAACTTCTTCCGCAGTTCACTTGATACATGTGCAAACGCCTTGCACCCAAATACTCTCAAGTGAGAAGATGATATGTCTTTACCCGTCCATATCTTCTCCGGAACTTCAAAATTCAATGGAGCGGAAGGTGACCTATTTATTAGATAGCAAGATGTCAATACAGCTTCACCCCAGAATGGCTTTGGGAGTTTAGTCATGCTGAGCATGCATCGAACTTTCTCAACAATGGTGTGATTCATCCGTTCTGCTACACCATTGTGTTGTGGGGTTCGTGGGACAGTCTTTTCATGTCTGATACCATGTTCCGTGCAGTATTTAGAGAACTCACGGGAATAGTATTCGCCTCCATTATCTGATCGGAGACATTTTAGCTTCTTGCCTGTTTGTCTTTCCACCATTGCATGAAAAGCTTTGAAGCGGTCCAATACTTGGTCCTTCGTTCTCAAACAGTATGCCCATACCTTTTGTGACGCATCGTCAATGAATGTCACAAAATACCGGCTTCCACCAAGAGATTCTACTTCAATGGGTCCACATACGTCGGAGTGGACAAGGCTCAGCAACTCAGAGCGGTTCTTTCTTGTGGAGCTAAAGGAAACTCTGTGTTGTTTCCCGAATAGGCAGTATTTACAAGGATCCAAGGCAACATCTTTTGCCATTGAAATGGACTCCTTCTTTGCAAGAGTCGTCAATCCCTTCTCGCTCATGTGGCCTAGTCTTCTATGCCACAAGTTTGGTGATGTCTCTTCTTTAACAACATTGAGACTTGGTTGAAGCAACTTTGCATGACTTTTATAAAGAGTACCATCAAGTTTTCCCTTGCAACAACCATAACACCTTTCAACAACTTCCAGGTGCCATTTTTGAATTGATTATCATATCCTTGGACGTCAAGAGCTCCAACTGAGATAAGATTCATTCTCAGCTCTGGGACATGCCGAACATCTTTCAACACCAATGTACATCCAACATTGGTCTTTAAATGCACATCACCAATACCAGCAATGCTTGAGAAACTGGTGTTTCCCATCTTCACGGTACCATGGTCTCCGGGTTTATAAGTACTGAATAAATCCCGGTTTGGAGTCGAATGATATGATGCAGCGCTATCAATCACCCACTCATCATCATGAGTTTCAACATGTAGGCATGCTTCCTCCTCGTATGTAACAAGGGCAACGTCTTGTGTTATGGTGACCATGGTTTCACCATTCTCCCTGCTTGGATTCTGGCTTGTCTCGGGCTGCTCTCGTAAGAACCTTCGGCAATCACTCCTTTTGTGGCCATAATAATTACAATGATTGCAATAGCCTTCGAACCATGTATTTGAAGATTTACCTCGCTCTCGCGATTTCCCTCGATCTCGTGATTTCCCACGATCATGGGATCTTCCTCTACTTTGACCATGTCTACCTCTGCCTCTACCTCGACCTCGGCCTCCAGTTCTGCCTCCGCCTCTTTCTTTGTTTTCTGACACGAGGGCAAAAGACTGGTCTGTACCAGCTTCTTTCCTTCTGGCTTCCTCGTTCATTAGGGCATCTGTGACCATCTCCATTGTTACTTTACCACCGGGGGCAGAATTGCTGAGAGTCACAACAAGCGTCTCCCAATTATCTGGTAGAGAACTCAAGAGCAATATGGCTTGTTCCTCGTCTTTGAGAACCCAATCAGCAGCACCGAGCTGGTTTACGAGATCCTGGAACTGACTCGTATGCTCAGTTATGGACGTACCACTTCGTAACTTGTGGTTTACAAGGTGCCTCATCAGCAAGGTCTTGTTGCGTGCCGTCTTTGCCTGATACATATTCTCGAGCTTCTCCCAAAGTTTGTACGCGTCTGTCTCTTGAGAGACATGATGAAAAACACTGTGGTCGATCCACTGTCGAATTTGTGCCACCGTTTTCCTGTTTATTCTCGTCCAAACTTCGTCTGTCTTCGTGTTGGGTTTGACGCCTTGCTTTTCTATAGGCTCTGCTAAATCTTTCAGATTAAGCAAATCTTCCATCCTTGGCTTCCACATGTTGTAATTTGTGGGCGTAAGTCGAACCATCGTAATCGTACTTGTAGATTCCATTGAAAATAATTGCAAATTTATTTTACAAATATTTCGAGGAAAAATTAGATAAAACCGAGCTCTCGGTTGGATTCGGAAGCGTCAAAAATGGTGGGGTAGAATTTTTCGGGCTCAAAATATACTTTCTTGAAAAGTTATGTGCTAATTTGTAACTTTTCAGAACTATAGGGGCTAAACTGTAATTTTCGGAACTTACAGGGGCCAATCTGAAATATTTCTGCCAACCAGGGACTTTTCTGAAACTTTTCAGAACTCCAGGGACCAAAACAGATGTTTTCAGAAGAACAGGGACCGAACTGCAATTTTTCAGAAACAGAGGGACCTTTCTGCAATTTTCTGGAACTTCAGGGGCTAAACTGCAACTTCCTGAAATTCTGGTCAATGATGACCTCACTGATGACGTCACTCCTTCTTCCCCGGCAGTCTTCTCCGGCCACCTGGTTTTTCCGGCGACTTTTCCGATCAGATTTGACCAACTTTGACCAACGATTTGAGGGCCTTCTGGTGGTCAAAAAATTACGAAAAATATATTTTCGGAATCCTTGAAACAAGCCCTTTCCAACGGTGTACTCAAAAACGGATTTTGAGACAAAAAAATTTTGACGAAAAAACAGAGAAATTCGTAAAGAATTCCCTGGACACCGAACCAAGCTCTGATACCAGTTGTTGGG